GTGACAGACTTTGATGATCCCCACTGAAGGCCTCACTGTCCTTGGGGATCGGGTAAGAGGTGGGTTGGGAGGGGGCATGGGAGGATGGGGGGGGCAAAGAAAAGGGGGAGATTGATATGTAAAATGATTGTTTCTAAAGAAAAAGAATACCAGCTCCAATCATATTCCATTATAACACTTCTCTGTTCTCAGTTTAACAAGAATATCAAATCCCCTTTCCTAACATACTTTTAAATAATCACACACAGTTAACCAGAATAAAAGCAGTGATTCTTGACTACTGTAGTATAACACAATCAGTTCCTTTCTGCTTTTAGATACTTTCTGAGGGAAAGAACTCAAACAAAGTACTTGGGGAAAATTAAGTAATTTATATAATCTATAGATCATAATTTTGTGACATTATAGACATACATTTTAATTTCTTTATATTTCTAAGATTAGTCAAAGTGTCTATGACAGACTTTAACAAAATGCTTATTATTTAATATCACATAAAATGAGTTGGCAACAAACAAAAATGGACTTTATATGTCAATGTGTTTTCAAGAAGTTGCATAAACAGTTGCTTTATGGCTAGGCAAAGATCAAGTGTAGTTGTATAAAAAACGAAAAACTATTTCAAATGCTTTAAAAGGTTAGGGAGACTGTTGTTGACTTAAACATACACATACAAACAAAAACAAAAACTCCGGTAACTAGTACTCCCATAGTGTAAGCTGCCTCTAGAATTAGCTTTCAGAAGTCCACAAGGTTCTAACGAAGTCTTCCTAAATGAACACAGCCTCTGCACAGCACACTGCTGAACTGAGGAATGGCAATTTTTTCAGTACTCTTTCTCAGTTAGGAGAAAAAAGCAGTCTGAGAGCAACCAAGTTTCCATTCCTTCATTACAGCTCATCACTTGAAAACATGCTTATCCTTTCGTGTGACCATAAGGTGACCGACTTCTAGATTCAAAAACAGTATATAGCCCACACATTTTGCCTATACTTATTTTTCACTATCCTTACCTCCCACCAACTCTCTGAATCCATAAACCTTTCTCCCTAATTAAAAAAAAAAATACTAACACTCAAAGGGGTCCATAAGTCTGGGGAAAGTTTTGGCAGCTACGGCAGGATTTTTCCTGACTCGTTCTTATTTCGTGTTATTTCTGCTTAGGATAATGGAATAGCTAATTCCACTCAAGTGTAACAGGCCAAGGCACTGGCGGCTGATGTTAAACAGAAGAAGTTTTAAAAACAAAACAAAAAATGCAAGGTGACAGCCATAAATAGGAGAAATAAGGGGAATTAACAGACTTTTCGGCTTAGAAGGTCCCAATCTAGCCTCTGGCTCCCAAAGGAAAGACTCCAGCCAGCAGTTTATCAGCGGCAGAAGTGGAGCAACTTTGGGATCAGAGCTCCCAAGGAGCCACCAAAACATCCTACCTGCAGGAGTCCCCCGCCCTCGCCCACCTGCCGGCAGGCTCCTGCTCAATCAGGCAGAAGTCCTGCGGGCCTCACAGGTAGGGAATAGCCGCCCCCGCAAGAAAAAGCGGAGTCTGGAGTAAGTGGAAGCAGAGGCAGGACCCAGGGAGTGAGTCTTAGGGTGTCCAGAACCGGAGAAAGGGGCCTAGCTCTCACCCTTGTCGCACGCCAGCAAGAAAAGCTTCTCATTCAGGGTGTTCTCCTCCTTCACCTCCCGCACATCCTTCAGCGCCATCACTTCGTTGGGCGACGAGGAGGATGGGGAAGAAGGCAGGGAGGAGGAGGAGACGCCCGAGAGGTCCGTGCTCGGGTACAGGGCCGCCATCATCGCGGCCCACGACGGGGGCAGGCCAGGGGACGGAGGCGGGGCCCCCATGGGCGCCGACCCCGACCCCAGCCCCGAGCCAGAGCTGGAAAACGGATGAGTCGTCCCCCCGGCCACATCTGCGTGCGGCCCGTTGGCCCCGAAGGGCGTCGCCTCGCCCCGGAACCAGCACTCGCCCTCCACTGACAGCCCCAGGTTGGTGGCCGCGCCGGCGCGACCCCGGGGCCAGCGCCCTCTGCCCAGCCGCCGGCGTCCCGGTCGAGCTGGTCCGCGCCCGTCCGGGGACGACAGAGTGGAGCGCGCCAGGGCGGCAGCTGAGCGCGGGGCCGTGCCAGGAGCCGCAAGGGGCCGCGCAGGGGGCGGCCCGGCCTGGGAGCGAGAGTGGGGGCCGCCGGCGCAGGAGCTCGGCGGTGCGCTTCGCGGCACGTCAGGCTCCGGGGCTGCGGGAACCGCTAGCCCAGCTGAACCCGCAGGAGGCAGAGGCTCGCCGCTCTCTCTCCTCACGTCATCCTCAGCCCCGCGGAGGCGACGACACCGGGGCGGAGCTAGCGGCGAAGCCGGGCTCGAGGGGGCGAGGTCTGTCGGGGCGGGGCTGGTGGGCGGGGCTTCCGGCCTGACGCGCCTCCCTCGTCAGTCGCCTAGAGCCCCCGCAGCATCTTTGAGCACCAGAGAAGGGGCGTGGCAACCTTCTGGCCTCTGTTAGTAGGTTGAGGATTTGTGGTAGTTTGCTGCTGCCTGTAGCTGCTGCAGTTGCTGCAATGTGCCATTGAGCTTTTGAGGAGTTAACGTTTAGTTGAAATCCCCTACGGAATTGTCCTAGAGCCTGGCCAAGCAACCAGATTTGGGAGTTTGTGCTTTCGCTACCCTTGTTTTTAAAGTTCATTCAAAATTTGCTTGTGATCTAATATGGCCTAACATTCCTGATATTTCTAAAGTCATTATATATACATGTATATGTATGTATTCACATGTAATTCGAAGATGACCTATAACCATTGCATACGAAGAGTTTAGGAGTTAACTCTCCATACAGTTCTTTCAGTGAATGTATTACATCTGTCACATCTGATTTTAAGACATTTGTTATTTAGACATCAGCTGACTGAAAAATAGCAAGTGTGACTTGAAACTACATCTTTTCAATAATTCCTAATATAGTACGAATTCTAATTGATATTAATAATTAAACCTCAGAGTCAGCTATCAGGAGGTGAAAGCTGAAAGATCAGAGAAACAAAGCAGCCGGTCACTAGAGCTCTACCAATGCTCAGACCGAAGCAGCGATCCTGGCCTCAGACTGTATCCTCAAACTGCACAGCTCTTCAGACTGCCCTGAGCTCCTCTCTCCACCCAGCCATATCACTTCCTGTCTCCACCTACCTCGTGCTGGGATTAAAGGAATGGGATCCTAAGTGCTGGAATCACCTTTGTGTGGGCTCTTTCTCTTTTAGACAGATTCAATCTCGTGTAGTCCAGGGTGGCCTTGAACTAACAGGGATCCATCTGACTCTGTCTCTCTAGTGCTGGGATTAAAGGTGTGGTCACCACTGCTTGGCCTCTATAGAAGCTAGTGTGGGTAGCTCTGCACTCTGATCTTTAGGCGAGCTATTTGTTAGATCATAAACAAAATATCACATCTTATTGCTGCCTACAGTCAACACTGGGGAGAAATCTGAACTGTGTTTAACGTTTAGATTTTTAAGACAATGGATAAATTTACTTATGAGTACCTTAAATTTGAGGGGGATACTTCTGCTCCCATGTAGGCTGCTTTGCTCCACTACTTTCTCTACCAACATTTTAATTCCCAAAATTTTTAAATCAATGTTCTCTTTAGATGTTCTCTAGAAGGTCTCAGTAGACATCTTTTCAAACATTTTTCTATGTGTTTACTTTAAAATAGATAGTCTCTGGAATTATTCTGGTTTTTGTTTCTAGACAATCTCCCCATTATTCTGTAATGTTCAACACAGTTCCAAGTTTATGTATTTGGTGAAATTTCCAAGTGGCTCAAGGTGAGGTCAGTGGAAACAGGAACATGTTTACTTTTGTATCTTTACTTACTCTTTATCGATGAGTAAAATGTTTAGCCGGAAGCAGAACTCTGACTGACCTATCCACCATTTCAGTATTTGAGGCTGAAGAATTCAAATGACTCATAGCCCTATACACCAATTATTTATTTAAAGAACTCCTATGGGGCCTGGATTAATTTTTAAGATTTGAGAGAATTCCAACCACTTCGGTAGTAATCTTAGGAGCACTTTTAAGCATTACAGAGTCTACTTCAGGCAATCGGCATTCTAATACACTTCAGCTTTTTGGATTGTCTCAGCTACAGACTATCTTCTTTCTCCTTCTTCTCTAGTAAACTGGCTAGCATAAATTGAATCATTCTCACATCACTTACATATTTTGCATACATGATATGATGACCAGTGGTGAAGTTATGATGAACAATGGCATGCAAAACTCAGAAGTAGCATATTACTCTAAGCAACTCCCTCAAGTCACAGGTATAAAAAAAGAGCAATCACAACTCCAGGGAAGGGAAAGAAATTCTGATTTAGATCTAGCCCGACAAGTAAGGTCGATCCTATTTATATTTTTCAGTGTCCTCCTCCCCTTTGCTAGAGCCATATCTGTGCTGCTTTTCATAGTGCCTCCGCCCACTAGACTCGTGATTTGCATTTTCCCTGCTAAACACAGTCCAAACAAAACATCCTTAAACAGACTCTGCCTAACTACCTAAATAATCTCCCTCTGCTCCCAAATCAGGCTGTAGCACCTCTCCTGCTTCTTCCTCCCACCATCACTATTTCCACCTTGCTATTTCTTTATTGGCTGACTGTCACTACTAAGATTTAGGTCAAAAGACTGTCTATATTTTTCTTAGCTGAATCCCAAGAATCTCAAGTAGTATTTGAACATTGGAGACAATAAATTTGTGCTAATGGATTTAATTCATTCAAATTATTTCATTGCAGACTAAATTTGTAATAATCATGTAGGTTGTCTGTAATAAAATCCTTCATAATGAGGGCCGGTGAGATGGCTCAGTAGATAAAAGTGCTATTTGTGCACTTTTGTGAAGTATTTTGTATTACTTCATTTACGTGTTGTATTCTTTTGTTGGAATTAAGTTTATAACAGACCAATATTGAAACCTCTATTTCTTTAAATGAAATAAATACACAAATACATATTGTACATACACAGCATTTTATTAAACATACTTTGTGAGAAAAAGACTTTAAAGTACTAAATTCCATGTAAATCAGACTATCTTAGTAAATATGGTGGTGAAAAAAATCAGAAGCATAATTTAAATAATCTCAGAAAAAGAACAAAAGCATACTTAATCTTCATATAAGAAAACAAGCATCAAAATATAAAAGTCAAGTCTCTTGTAGAAGAATATATTTCAGAACTCCACCTGTTAGTATTTCATTTTAAAAAGTCTACCCTACACACACAGTCACTCCACTTTTAACATATATGTTTCCATCAGTGGAAGAGGAGGGTGTAGACAACTCATTCACACGGAGATAAGTGGAGCACTTTCGTTGCATGGTAGGATTGCTCACAGGCACTAAAGTAGAAGATGAGGGGAGTATATTTCTAGCGTCAACTATGAGCCACAGAATTTCTCTACTGCTAAAAAATTCTGAGGAAAAGAGGTTTCAAGTTTTAACTCTTCCTATTGAACACAAACCTTAAAACATTTCCAGTTTATACAGGGCCATGAAAAACATGAAACTATGACAGACATTAGCTTTTAAATGTTTTCTATGAAAGTTATTTGGTGGGCATATTCTAATTATGTAGGCTTCATTACGACTAGTAATGAAACTAGTAAGTGTAATGTGATGCTAACAGGATAGTATCAGTGTCAGCTGGGATGTTCTATTCAACGCTTGGCTGCAAATACTTGAAAGGAACTAGGTGAAAAATAACTATATGCACATTCATAATTAATATTTGTAAAAGATCTCACATATCAGATATCCACAAGCTGAAAAGTGTCACACATATTGTAGGGGCAAAATAAATACTAAATGGCTGGCTGACCACTTAATACATACCATTTAAGAGAATCTGGGAGCTGGGTGGTGGTACATGCCTTTAATACCAGCACTCAGAAGGCAAGAGACAGGTGGATCTCTGTGAGTTCAGGGGCAGCCTGGTCTACAAGAGCTAGTTCCAGGAGAACCTCCAAAGCCACAGAGAAACCCTGTCTCAAAAAGCCAAAAAATAAATAAATAAAGCTGTATTATCAAACTAGGACATGTAAAGTAGCAAAGCTTTAAGTAAAAAGTTCCGAGTTTGAGGCCGTGCTGGACCGACAGCTTCCAAAACAATACAGAGAAACCCTGTCTCGTAAAAACAAAAACAAAACAAAACAAAAAAAAAAAAAACAAAAGTTCCTACAGCATGAGTGAAACTTGGGGTTTAGTCAAGACTTAGTTTTCATGTTAAAAACATTTACTGTTGATGAACTATACTTATCCCTTTAAATTATTATACGAGATAGAAATTTACAGAAAGATTACAATTTTAGATCACTTTACATAGGGAAAAACAAAAGGATTAGGTTTGATTATGACTTTAGGTATATTTGTCATCAAAATTAAATAACACTTCAAAAAAATCCAAACACATTTAATAGTAGGACCTGACAAAACTTTATACAGATCTTTTTTGAGCCATGAAAAATAATGATTAGTCTTATTTTGGTAAGACCTTTAGGAAATAAAATTATTTAACTATGAAATAGCAGCTTGAGATTGAGAAGATATTCCTGTGTTGGTATTGATTATTAAAGAAATTGTGTTATCCAAAAGATTGACAAATTCTAACTAGTATGGACAAGATATTATTTATTTACTGAATATAGAACTATTTTGAGCATACAGATAATCTGATTTTATACCCACTACATTTCAAAATTCTGTAAACTGAGACATTCGATGTGTTTAATGTGGCAGATCATAAATGCTTCATTATTTTATTCTGTTCAGTCCTTTTCCCATTAAGCAGGCAAACACAGTCATAACCATCTTTGGTTTTACTTCTACGAGGTCATCAGGTAATGCATATATCCGGGCACCAATCTTCCGAGCAACTGAAATGGCATATCTTGAAAAGACAAGAAAGACATCTTGGGACTTGTTATCTACCATGTTTTAAATTGACACATTTTAACAGAAGAATCTTGTTATGAGGTCAACTTTATAAAAAGGTTAGGGATGTGATTTTTTTAAAATCATGTTCCCCACAAAAATTGTACTTTAAAATGTAAAGATATCCCCGTGAGTATTTTAGGTGATGAGAAACGGCTGTGGTCTAATATAAACCCGAAAGGCTTACTTAGCATTGTTCAGTTTGTCCTCATCAGTCAAGTCTTCTCTCTTAATCATTTCTTGACGAATTGCATTTGGTGCGATGGCATCTATTAAATCTAAGACAGGCAAACTTGTACTAATAGATTTATCCTAGGAAATAAGGAAAACATGCGTGAACATCTTATCCTTGATTTCCACAAATGTCAGCCCCTTCTGTCATAGTCACATAACTGAAACCAACCTATACATTTTCTTTGTACTTAATATTACACTTTTCTGCAACAACACATATAATAAACTGTTTAAATTATGATTTCCCTTCAGTCTTCATGTAAATTATAGTGTATAAAGAGTTGCCCCCAAAAATTGAAGGGCCAGAGCCGGGCATTGGTGGTGCACACCTTTAATCCCAGAACTTGGGAGGCAGAGGCAGTTAGATCTTTGTGAGTTCGAAGCCAGCCTGGTCTACAAATGAGTTCCAGGACAGCTACACTGAGAAACGCTGTCTCGAAAAACATAACAAAACCAAAACAAAACAAAAGTTTCCCCATATCCAAATATTATTTATGGCCGTGATAGTTACTACTTTTGCCAACTGTAACATCTGTTCTGCAAAAAATAACTTTAGAGATAGAGTTGATGCATTTTAAATTAATAATTTTATACTTGTGGACCAGAAAGGAAAGTCAAATAGTGAAAGGAACCTCTCATTTACAAACATGGCGTTTTGGTGATTTACATGTTTTATTTGCCATTATTTTTTTTAATCCTACGTCCCAGAAACAAATGGACTATATCTTCTTTAAAGTATACAAGTCCAAAAGGCCAAATGGCTACACAGCCAATAAAAAAAAGGATTTGAACTGTGACAGTATAACACTAGTACGCAAGATACTCCGTTTTGCAGTTACTTCCAGAATGAATCAAAAATGGACACCTATCATAGGGAATAGATATTGTAGTTAAAATAAACAATCCTGATCTGAACTGATTTTGTAACTTGCCTGCTCATGGACAAATGACCTTTTGTTCTCAGCTTGAGTAATGGCCTCTACTGCTGACCTACCAAATACTGGCTCACTCCTTACCTCTCTCTATTCTAACAGAACCCATATTTTTTGCTGTGTCCATACCTTTCATGTGGCCATGAGCTTCAAGGAAAGCTCTTGCCATCAGGTGCTCTAGGAATGAACCTGAGTTGAGTGTAAGTCATGCCTTCTTAAAAAAAAATAAACCTTATGTGTAAAGAATACAATACACAACCAAATGTATAATATATCTACATATTAAACATTCACAGGGAAAGACTAGAGCTGGCGGAGCAGCTCAAGAGCACTGGCTGCTCTTCCCAGAGGACCTGGATTTGATTCCCAGTGCACATGTGGTGGCTTACAGCTATCTTTAATCCAGTTCCAAGGGACCAAAGCCCTCTTTCTGACCTCCACAGCTACTAGGCATGCACATGGTGCACAGACTTACAATCATAAAAAAAAATGACAAGGAAGGGCTAATTAAGAAAAAAGAGTATCTAAAAAAGCCCTTGCCCAGGGGCAGTAATAAAACAAAGCTGGAAAGTCCCCAGTCTAAGATGAAGGGAGCAGTATCCTATCACCACAACGATTTTACTTGAGCCTAAGTAAATCAGGCTTTCAGAAACCAACAAGTTTTCTGACTGTGAAAGAGAGGATGAAGCCTCTGTCATAACCAGCAATACAAGAGGAGAATCAGCTTTGGGGAATAGCTGACTGTTAAATGGCAAAGCGGTAATAGGTGGGGGGAGCTACTGGCTGAAATAGTCCTGAAGTCTAATCGACCTCTGCATTTCTGCTGTTGTAGTCAATGTCTTTCTCTTTAATCTAAATCAATTTACATTTCTATTCTTGAAGTCAAAAACATCTTTATCTAAGCTCTGGGATGGGAATGACACAGGATTCTTGGCCATTACTATAATGAACAATGATTTTTCCCCCTCCTATTTTTCATGTTTACTTTGGAGAAAGTTTTTACTGAATTAAATGAAAAGTTTTAAGCTTCTAAAGATTTTTATCAGATCCTTAAGTAATGTTTCCAAGAAAACAGACCTATCTTCTAACTTCCCTGACTTGTATGTTATCATTGAAAGGCATTTTATTATTGCAAGGAGTATACTGTGAAAATCCCTAATTCTATATATAAGTACATTTGTAGCACTTTAAGTTAAGTGTAAAGGAATTATATAAGTAAAAAGTCTCTAGAATCTTAAAAGAGAATGAAACCTAGAGCTTAGCCTGATTTCCAAGATTGTAGCATCTCTTTCCTTTGATTTCATACTCTATTTTGTTATCCTTCCTGATGTTTTTAAAAATAAAAGTAAAAAAAACTGGGACATGACCAGGAGAGTTTTCTTAAAGACTTAACAGGAATCCCTCCACATATGATGCCCTTTATATATAGGCAGTGCTATTAATGTGCAAGTCCCATTTATTAAGCCTTTACTGTGTGCCAAATATGCTTAATTTTTTTAATTTATTTAGTTTTACAACAATCCTGTAAGACAGATATTATCTCCATCTTAGACTTGGGGAAACTGAAACACAGAGAAATTATTAGAACTTGTCCAAGATCACACAGATACTAAATGAAGAATCAGGTATTAGGTCTGTTTCATTCACCCAGCTACTAGTGTAAACTGCCAAGGTTTCCGAAAAACAGATGTCTTCGTGCAGTGCCATCTGCTTACCTGATTTACATAGCACTGCTGGCAGCCATACTACAATGCTACTTTTCTCACTTGTGTCCTTCCCTGAACAGTGAGTTTTTTGAGGACATTGGTAGCTATGGTAACAAGGTACCTGACACAGTGATCTTTGATATTTACAGACTAAGTAATATGTCAGTCACACAGGTCACAAGTGCTGAGGTAAGCATCAAACACAGGGCCATACAACTACAGAGTTTGGTTTTGAACGTGTACATAGACAGACCTTGATAAGACAGTCAGTTCTTCCCTTTAAAAGGGCACGGCAACGGACTGACATCTCTAATGCTCACATTTTTGCTCCTAGAGTTGGTAAATGTGAAGCGTGCTTAGCGTAATGGCAAACAGTCTCGATAAATGGCAATTATAATTATAACTTGCTAATATACTCCTCTATCTTCTTAGTGAGGGAAAAGTTCTTTACAAATAAAACAGTTAAATATGTCTTTTCTAACATACCTAGTTATAGGATGTCTTGAATATGATCAGCACCTCGTTTGTGAATTCAGACTTTTCTTTCTGAAATAATCACACTTCCCACATTACTCCTTCTACTCAGTATTCTTTATTTAGGACAAACGTCTCCCCCATGTTGACTTAATCTGTTTTGTACAATATGCGTTGGAAACCATCCTCTCAACATTGCCTCGATTCAAACGGATGCTTCGAGCTTGTTTCTCCCTCTTCTGCCCACCAGTTCAAATCGTCCTCCAGCAGAGGTTCAAATCAACTTGCTTTAATTTTTTTTAGGTTTTAAAATGCACATTATACTGAGTTAGTTAAGGTCGTTTTCATGAAGGCATATAAAGCACTTTGAGCCTATATCCCACTACCAAATGTTTTTCTCTGTCCACTCTTCACTGACCATTGAGTTAGAAAGATCACTGTACACTTGAGAAAATCAGTTGTATCGCTTGAATTTTATGATCCACTCCATAGTAGTATTACATCCATTGTACAAGTTTGTCTTTAATATAAATGATGGGCACTGAAGGCTAAATAAACTTCTTACGCTTTCTTTTACTTTGGCTAGAAAAGCTTCGTTCCTTTTTTTTTTTTTTTTTTTTTTTGGTTTTTTGAGACAGGGTCTCTCTGTATTGTTTTGGAGGCTGTCCTGGAACTAGCTCTTGTTGTAGACCAGGCTGGTCTCGAACTCACAGAGATCTGCCTGCCCCTGCCTCCTGAGTGCTGGGATTAAAGGCATGCACCACAAATGCCTGGCTGAAAAGCTACATACTTAGTAATACTTCAGTAAATATTCCTGTGTTCCTAAATGTTTCTTCATTATATGCTTACTGCTAAGAATTGAACCTAGGACCTTATGTATTCTACCAGCCTTCTTATTTTTAGTAAGTATATAAGTATGTGTAACTTTGGCATAATATTTTCGGAGATGACCTCTTAGAGAATTTTGTAATATACCACATTCCTATTTTACATTTAAAAATTGTATTTTATATCTAAAATGTGGAGAATCAGACTAAAAGTTACTTTTAAAAAATCAACAAACAATAGTATTACTAGTGTCCTCAAAGACATAAAAGAAAGATACACCTGAATTGGGACCTAAAGAGCACCTTTCCCAAGATCTATTCTGTTAAAACCATTCGAAGTCTTTGTTTTTGTAAAGTAACTTAATTTATCAACGTATGGCATTTCTGCTACCCTCAAATATTTTTAAACACTAAAAGAATAAAGATGGGTAGGTGCCTTTAAAAATAGATCAGTGTTTCATCTACTGACACATTTAAATTGTTTTTAAAAACAGAAATTGCTGGGCTTTTTAAAACATATAATAAAAGTCACAAACATAAGGGTCACTGAATGAATATGTTCAAGCGGACATGCTTATTTGTAGCTAATACCAGCTTGCATGCAACAGCAAAACACAATGGAAATGCATGGAAATTAGTGGGTATGTCTGTGAAGACTACATTCTCCGTGCTTTATGAATCATCCACGAATGCTCAGAAGGAAGTGTTAGGTGCATTATGAAACCAGATGATAAGAATCGTTTTTCCTACCAGTTTTCTCTATCCCCACTTGAATCGCCTTGGCTGGCTCTGTATGGCTTGGAAATGATGCCAATACAATTCAGACACTGCTGCTAGGGAGCACAAAACATCACAGGTCCTATATAAACAACCAACGCTTTACAGCTTCTTTTTTTTTTTCATTTGACAACTGGGTTTCTGGCTCAATTCTACTTCTAATGTCAGATTACCACATTAAATGCACTAACCTGCATTTATATTCAATACATAACCAATCAAAAATATAAGAATTCAAATTATTTCTAGTTTACACATGCCAGATAGTTACTATGCCTAAATCCCTGGGTTATAGGTTTCTGTGATATAATACTAACATAATTCTGAACGTCACTAATGTAATTCTCCTTAAAAATCCCTTCCATTAAACTTAGGTAGAACTTTTCAAAGTTCTTGTTACCTTGAAGCTGGAAATAGAAGTGCTTTTGTTTGCACTTTTAAGAGTCTGATTGACCCATTTAATAATGATATCATCACTGACTTTTTCCCCTTCTCCAAGATCTGATAATACATTCAGTGTGTACCTGCAACAGAAACGATATGAAGTTGAGACAAGGGGGTGAAATTTGTTTTCACATCATTTATATCAACATTTAAGAAATAATCAGGTGTGGCTTACGTCTATAACCCCAGCACTTGGGACGCTGAGGCTAGAGGGTTGCAAGTTCCTGTTTTCAAAAATTAAATTTCTAATTTTAGTCTGGCATTTGTACTTAGTGATATTCAAAAGTGACAAAGCTCACTAATCAAAGCAGAATACTACCAGATAGTATTTCAAAAATTTTAAACAATTCCTTACAAAGCCATTTTAAGAGGTATTAATAGAAAGTGATTGTATCACTACAGATTAGCCCATTATAATGTTTGAAAACATATACCCAATAGCAAATCTTTAATAGAATTAATTTATTTCACATTGTATATTTAGGTATGTTCACTAGTCTCCAAACCTAGCTACATGTTTAGTTCAAACGATCTGTTGACGGAAATTCCATGTTACTATGAAGACATGAGCCTTTACCTTCTCATGAGCTGCCATACCAGTGCCAGGGTAAGGGTTGCATTCCCTTCGTTTAAGTCCTGCCCACCAATGCCAACCAAAGAGAATTTGGCTTCATTCTTCCCAAGCTCTACTGCATAGTTACAGTTCTCAATCTGTAAGCAAGTAAAACCGTCAGTATAAAAAACAGATTTCAAAAACATTCCCAGTCTATGCTAACCTAGGCCAACCACCTGAGAAGTAACAACAATGGCACTATGTGACCAAAGTTTAACTCGTTACAAACAAGTGATACAATTGTGCCCAGTTTACAGGGAAGTGGTCAAAACAAGAAAGGGATTAATCTAGAATATGAAAACGGCTGAACAGTACTAGGCTCCCCTTCAATCCCAAAGTCTTGACTGCAGATAACACAGTTTATTAATAGAAAGCCTATGGCTAAAAATTATTTCACACGACCTCTGGAATTCAGGTCCTTGCCCACTTGATTCCGCAAAGGCTCTGTCTGGGTTGTGGCTGTTCTGCAGCATTTTCCTCCTAGATAAGATTTCTATCTTGGAGGGAAGTTTCTTAAGACATGTGGTATTCTAAAGGGAAGTGAAACAGTCCATCTTGCAGGGAAGCTCCTTAAAATTCAGGAAGTCTCCGAAACTGGCCAGATCCACTGGCTCCTCCCTCCCCAAGTGAGGATGCTGAGAGAGCATGAGAGTGGCTGAGCTGCTTCAAAGAGGCTGAGGCCAGCTGGGCCACCAGAAAAGGACAGTCTCCACCCTGTCCAGCATCCTGTAGGCTGTACACTGTGCTCCAGGGTTCTAGCTTTCATAAGCTGTCACCCACATTGAGGTGGGTGTTGGTGTCATTTCTGCTCCTGTAAGTAACCCCTCACTCATGCTCTTTGAAGGTACCCCAATAAAACTCATTGGCTCACCAATCTGGACTTTGGTGGTAACCTCACTTTGGTCTCTCATAAGTTCTCTATCTGGACTGAGAAAATGCTTGCTTGTATAAGTCACCCCAAGAACAGTGTCACACAACAACTGGCAACAGTAGCTCAGTGGTATTTTCCTAGTATGTGTGAATCCCAAGAATCACAAAACATAACTAAATAATCTTAACTATACCAGCCGATTATCTAACCCATATTAACCTCCTTAGATTCATGGACTATGTTATACCTAGTTTTTAATGTGTTTTCTTTTATTATGCATAGTACCAGTGTCCTATAAAAAATGTTCAGTAACAAATCCTTACCATTCTCCCCACACTTCAGCTTTGTTCTTAGCACAGTATCATTTACAGTAAAAACCTGATTTATAAACACTTGGGTTGGTTTGAATAATGTCCCCCATAACTAAGACAAGCGCCAAGTATATAATTTCCCACTTACTTAATTCTAGTCATAAAAACCTGGTTTGGTCCAGTCTCTACAGAGGTTTCTTATTAGTCATCATCTGGTGATACATGTATCGGAGGTATGCTTTTTATTTTTTCACCTTTTTCTCTCTGTGTGTTTACAGTTGTGTGTTTGTATACATGTGCAGGTGCATATAAATATGACATATGCATTCCCGCAGCACTAATGTGGAGGCTAGAGGGCGACCTCAGGCATCAGTCCTTACCTCCACCGTGCTATTCCGCTGCATACCCCAAAACGTTAGGTGTTTGTCCTGCCTCCCCCTCCACTTCCCTATAGGAGCACTGGGATTATAAGACACTGATGCTGCATGTCCAATTTTTATGTGAATTCTTGGAATTTGAACTCAGTTCCTAACACCTGTTGAAAGGACTTTTACCCACTAAACTGCCATTGCAGCCCCCATCCCCGAGGTATTTCTGCTCTGATGAAATTGTAAGCTCTAAAATCTTTTTTGTTTCTGCCGGGCGTTGGTGGCACACGCCTTTAATCCCAGCACTTGGGAGGCAGAGGCAGGTGGATCTCTGTGAGTTCAAGGTCAGTCTGGTCTACAGAGTGGGATCCACGAAACCCTGTTTTGACAAGAAAAAAGCATTTCCCTAGCTTACGATTTTTCCTATCATGCACTACACTGTGCAAGTAGTAAGAAATCAGGATACATCTGATGAGTAAATGAATAGCAAGCAGTCAAGATTTAGCAAGTTGTGGCAATTACAGCAGAAGAGTGCACCTAGGGTGCATCTCAATAACAGAAGTACCATAACTTGTTAAAGATGAAAACAGTGTAATCAAGTGTCTGCCTGGAAGGACTGCCTTGTCTTTCCAAACACTTAATAACCGAGCTTAGAAAGAGACCATTATGCTTAGCAGATCTTAAAATGAATGTACAGGCACAAACCTTACACCAATATTTACAAAACTTAACCCTTGGCTTTACATCCGAATAACAACAATATAACTACAGTCATTCTCTTCACCTTCTTCATGTTCCCTCCAAGAGCAGGATAAGGGGGCTTGTTGACATGGCTCCAGTTGACTGGCACACGGATCATCTCATACAGCTGAAAGATCACCAAGGCGTCTGCAAGGTCACTGAAACGGGAAGGAAATACATATAAGAAAGGGAAAATTGTTGGCTACTACAGATGAATGAACGTGTGTCTTTAAAACAGAGTCATTTAAAGCTTATCATGACAAGGCATTTCATTTGACCTCAAATTTTCAGCCAAAGAATATGTCCAACTTTTTCATGCTCACAAGGCATTCGTACATATATGCACACTTGTATACATGCACACATACGAAGGTTTTTATTACCACTGTATTTATAAATATGAAAACAAATGTCCAGTATTATAAAGTCAACAACCCTTACTATGAACTCCTGGGCTGCTCTCAGTTATGTTAAATTTGGTTTTAAAATGCTAATATAAAAAGTTATACAAGATACATTAAGTATTTAAGATCAAGTGGCAGGACACTCATTAGTTTGATCTCAGTCAAAATTTTATACATATGTAAGGATTACTAAGAGCAATCACTTGTGATCAGGAAAAAGGGAATGAGAGGGAACAAGGAGGAATTGTACGTTTTATTTTATTCTATACACTTACATTGAGACTTATACAATAGAATGAGTTCATGTGTTATATGAATTATGATTTTTCAAAACTTTAAAAATAGTTATAGGAAAATTGCAGCTATTCAGTGGGTAGCTAGCTGTTCCTGTTCAACAATAAAAGTTAAGAGGAAGGATTTTATAAGGAAGTAGGAGTTCTGAATGTAAGAATACTGAAGAACACTTTTACTTTGAATTCAGAAAATACATTCTCCAAGAAGCTTAAAGTCTGTTGAGTCTGTTGTCAGCTTTTGATGTGAAGGTAAGGAGCAGTATCAATGCAGTAAGCAGTTCTGGGAAGGAATGCCTGGCTTTTCTCTTCCATAGCTTATCCACTGGCTGTGTTCTGCTACGATTCATATCACAGTTACTCTTCCTTCTCTAGGCACACGTGCAGCATTGAATGAATGAAGTCAGGTTCTGTGCTGAGTGATGGAGACATCTAATGGACAGCTATTAAAATCTGAATGGGCTAGCTGAAAGCACACGCACATTTGTCTGCAAAAAGAGATCACTAAAGTCATTGTGTAAGTTCTGGAATTTTACCTATTTCTTATTCTCTCTTTCTTTTTAACTTTAAATACATTCACCTTCCTTCTTATTTACTATGGTATTATTATTATTACTCATGCTCTGAACATTAGAAACCCAAGGCTCAGAGAGGTGAATAATTTCCATCCATTCACAATAAATTCCAGAACCAAATGGTGGTAGAAAATTCTAGGACTAATAGTTCTGAAAATATATTTAACAGCTTATTTAAAGAAAAGAATATTTAGTTAAAACCAGTGTTACAGTCAGTCTAGTTGCTTTGGCATCAACTGAGTGCATAATAGGCAGGAAACTGAGTGCTAAGAGTGGGTTAAGACCCAAATTCACAGACTTATGCTGTTGCCTGTTTTTTTTTTTATCTTCAATGGTTTCCTTTGAGATTATGTTACTTTGAAGATTTTCTGAAAGTGAACTATCTTTCTCAAGAAAAAACTGCATAGGCCTTGATGCCTTCACTAATATTTCAAGGATATCATAATAATAATCAAGCATGTTTTAATTAAAAATTTGGTAAAATCGCCGGGCGTTGGTGGCGCATGCCTTTAATCCCAGCACTTGGGAGGCAGAGGCAGGCGGATCTCTGTGAGTTTGAGGCCAGCCTGGTCTACAGAGAGAGTTACAGGACAGCCTCCAAAACAATACAGAGAAACCCTGTCCCGAAAAACCAAAAAAAAAAAAAAAATTGGTAAAGTCTCTTTTTTCAGTCATTGAGAACTTTAGTGTTCTCAACATTTATAAAAGTTAACCTTGACTCTCAACAAATCTTAATCCTTTTTAACGTGTATGTGTGTGTGTGTTGTATGTGAAGTGTGTATGTATTTATGTACACATAGCCACCCCAGGACAACATTAGTTACCCACCTTGGTTTTTGAGACAAGGTCTCTCACTGGTCTGGCATTCACTGAATCACCTACACTGACTGACCCACCTACTTCTGGCCTCTGTGGGCACTGCACACACATAGTACCCAGACAAACAGGCAGGCAAGACACCCATACTCATAAAATAAAAATAAATACATCTCAATTTTTAAAAATGTTTAACCATTAATGATAAGAAAATAAATGTTCACTCTTAGAAAATAAGATCAACCCATATTAAAATGATATTCTCTATTCCTACTACTTAGACTTGTACAATTTGGTATATACCTCTCAAGACTTTAAGAATTCATTTACAAATTTATATATAGTCAATTTGAAACTAAACCAGATCATACTTAGACCTATTGCTGGTTTATTCTCAATAAGATACTACAGACATTCTTTCAAATGAATTCAACACATTTAATCACGTCTCTCTCCAATGCTGGAGTTTCAGCTGCCCTGCTCCTACAACAAAAGCTCTAGTCTAATTGTTGTACACCTCTTCATTCAGCTAGAAATTATAGACTTTTGTGTTTAAATGTCTATTAAAATGATAGTTAATAAAGTAAGACAATGCTTGCTTTTAATTAATGTTTTAATAAATAGCAAGGAACAGAAATCCTCAGCTAGGACCAGCAGGTTGACTGTAGGTAAAAGTGCTTGTCATGCAAGCCTGATGACTTGGTTTACTTCACAGGTCAAGGTAGAAGGAGATAACCCATTCTAAAAAGTTACCCTCTGACTTCCACATGCAGACCATGGTGTGTGTACATACCAATATGCAATATAAAATATAATTGAATGAAGTTTTTCAGCTAAGGTTAATCTTTATTCAGTTCGTTCTTGAAGATGCCTTTGGTATGTAAATTGCTGATCAATTTAGTAGATTTTTTAATTAAAAATGGAAGTGGAATTGTTTATCTTGCATTTTTTTAATGGTTTTTCGAGACAGGGTTTCTCTGTATTGTTTTGGAGCCTGTCCTGGAACTCACTTGGTAGACCTGGCTGGTCTCAAACTCACAGTGATCCGCCTGTCTCTGCCTCCCGAGTGCTGGGATTGAAGGCGTGAGCCACCAACGCCCGGCTTATCTTGCATTTTTGTCTAGGCTATATTCTTAACCTGTTAACCATCTCTCCAGCCCCCATCAAGGCTATATTCTATGATAAAGAAAAAAGAAACACTTTCTCTTACTCATTCCTAAAGAGACATGATTGCTACTAGCAAAAAGCACAGGAAATAAGTATTTTCATAGCCCTGTTAATGTGCACAAAACAAAAATAGAACTACTATATTATCTCATTATGCCATTCCTGAGTGTATACTCAAAGGAACCACAGAGACACTTGTACATTCATGTTTATTGTTGCATTATTCATAATATCTAAGATAGGAACCAGCCCACATATCTATCAACAAAAGGATGAATAATAAGGTAATATGATCCATACATGTAGTGTAATTTTATTCAACACTGAAGAAGAATAAAATTAGGACACTTAGGGCTAGGGTTGTAACTCAACGGTAAAATGCTCACCACTCATGTACAAAGCCCTAGGCTTAATCCTCAGGACAACAACAATTAAAAGATCACCTCACATGGCATTAGGGCACACAGAGGAAAACAGGTGCAAGTGGAGGCCGTTACGTTACATGAAGTAGTGAGACTCAGGAAGACACATGGCACGTGTCTCTCAGATGTGGGATCTAGACTTAAATCACGACATGGATGCATGTGTAGGACATGAACATAGGAAAGGGATGATGGAGAAGAGAAAAGAAGGATCTGCAGGGATGAGTATGACCAGCCAAAGGGGGTGAGGCTGCAGCCGCAGTGGTGAAGAATAAACAAAGTATAATGATACATTTACAGAAAAATGAATTTTTAAAATCTTAAAGAATAAGACAAAATTAAGTAATTACCCAAGGAAATGAACTATTTCTAGAAATAAGGAAAATGATATGTGAAATACATATATCATATAGTATAAGTAATGATAAAAATAAATGAAAAACTATGTTAGAGTAGAAAACGATATATATATATATGGAAACAATTTGTTAGATATTAATGTTATTCAAATCCTTAGTACTGAATTAATTTCTTATTTTCATGATCAGCAACTACAAAATACAGAAATTTACCCATTATAACATAATTAAATATTATTATCATCACATTGTCTTTTTATATAACACTCAAAAAATCCCAAACAAACAAACAAAAAAACCAGATTGCCCATTCCCAGCATTGCAAACATTGGCTAAATTCTTGTGGTTTGAGAAAACATCCTCATGTAAACATACCTAGAGGGGAAACTTAAGTTAGATCATGGCAGTAAGGCTGAAATATAGTCAGCTATTTTACCTGTACAAATGGTTGATGTATGGGTTGACCCCCAGTGAATTCATCCAGTTCCGAAAGGTCCTCTCTTCCTTGCTCTCCCCTAGGGTAGACGAAAGCCCACACTGATGATTCAGGCCAAATAAATAAGAATTGTGCTTAAAGCATTCTGGTAGGGTAAACCGGCCACTTTGTCTGATACAGTTTCTTTACGGAGAAAGTATTTCTCATCCCAACTACCTAGGAAGCCCCCATTTGTTCTCTCTCCATCTGGTTCCCCTTACTTGAGGTCTGTGGACTACTCCTGAGCCATGTGCTTTTCTGTTCAAGGACACAAGAGATAGTACAAATGCAATTTAAGCAGCATAAAATTACAACCTAATTTGGCCAAATATAAAGCCAGTCTTTTAGTGGGCAAGGTAACAGACAGCACAGTAAACAGACTAGAAAATTCTACCTTTCTCAAATGTAGCATTTCTACATTTGGGTAGATTATGGTTAGTCAGGAACCTTCCCGGGCACACAAATCTAAATTTCACAAATAATGAAGGGGAGATTTCAGGTGATGCAAAAAAAAAAAAAAAAGCAGTGAGGGGCACCAACATTTCCCAGCTTTCTGAGTTACTTTGGATTACAACTGTTGGAAATTCAAGAGGAACATAGCCACCGACAGCATTTCATTTTATTCTGAGATACGTTTCATCACTATTAAGTTACTGGAACCCAAAATCACCTCAAGGCAATAACTCAATGGGTACTTCTGTTTAGTCTGTCTCCCTGAGTGTACATCATCTGTTTTTAAAAACAAACAAACAAACAAAAAACATGAGTATGGTATGCACAATTTGGGGAGAGATGTGAACTCTCCCTGCCATATCTGCCTTACAGAATCTACTGACAGCAAATGGTTCTAAGTGACTACATCATGTCTTATTCTTTGGCAAAGGACAGGATGTGGGGGCACAATGGAATAACTTAGACTGTATCTTATCACCAACTCCCTAAAGTTAAAACCTTTATATTTCTTAAAATATTTATACTCCTCACCACGTCTAATGTACAGGCCAATGAAGGTTACTCTAGACTTTGGTCCATGAGAGAATTACAGTGCCATTTGGCATAGAAATCTATAACTACCTAGACTCTAGGATTCATTCTCAACTAGGGCCAACTTCAACTTAATTGCCACAGAGAGTATGAACCTAAATATCCACAAACAACCAAAGCCTTATACAATCCAAATGATTCCATTTATTTTCATCAAATATTCAGTAAATAAAAAGCTCAGCCTATTTCTATGTAGATTTTCAATGCTATTACCTAAGTTACCACAACCTATATAAGTCTAGCTTTATTAACCAAATAATTTCTTGCTTATATTCTATCCCCTCTAATCTCAAAAAGTAACTGATCAGTTTGTCATATCTGCTACACTACTTTATACTAAACAATCTAAACTTTATATTAAAAGAGCCACGTCAAACTAAGTGGTGCAAACACGGCATAAATATAAGCACATTATATTCACTGCTTGACACATTTGACTTGGATTGCCTTTGCTTCTTTCACTAACTTAGTGATACCATATGAAGATACATTTCCCCCCAGTAATTAGGAAATGTCTGCATTGTTTCTAGTTAGGAAAATCCAAATTATGCTTTTAAATTACGAAAGATGGATGTCACAATTTTTGACTAAGATACTCAAAGTCTATTGAGACTGTTGATATAACAGTTATTTGAAAAAGACATTAAACTTACATGTAAAAAGTCTGGAAACTGTTATAAGTTTTGGAGATTTACATTTTTTTCCGTTCTCAACTAAATGTGCTATTTTGGTTTTTAACACATGAAAAGTAAAATAGATTTTTTTTTGGTGAGCATTTATTTACCTAGTTGCACTTAAGTCATCTTGGTAAGTAGATGCTCACAGCTACAAGCACTATGCATTTGTGCAGGAGCCATAAAAAGCATTTCAGAAACATATGTATTACAGACTAGAAAGTGCCTTTAGATTGCAGACAACTAAAGCAACTGTGTAACTAAGAATCTTAGTTTCTAACTACTTGATAGCACTATAAAATATTTTTAATTTGTAAGTCAAATTGGCAAAAGTTTCAATAAAACAAGTACATTTTAAAACTACATTGTTAGAAAGACAGAAAGAGAAAGATCATACTGAACTCACTGAATATGCCTTCCTCCGTTCGTCCTAGCCATTAATGAACACATACTGCTGATTGAATGCTTTCATTTCTGATCACGTTGAACCTCTCCTGGGACTCTTCAGAGTAAATATTATTACTTGTGTGTTATATATAAGAAAGCCAAGGCTCACAGCTGGTACTCAGGTATTAAATGGTGGAGCCATGATTTGAACAAAGTCTTTCTAGCACCACAAACCAATTCTTAGATACTCTCCCTGTATGCTGTGTATGTGTTTGGCACAATTTGATATGAAGGCTTAACACATTTATCTGGGCTTTTAAATTTCATTAGTTTCCTCTAGGCGAAATTCTCTGCCAATGAGACATACTAATATATGAATTTGGGGTGTGGTAAGTTCAAAGCTAAAATTTCATAAGGATCTACAAAATAACAAATTTACAGAGGAAAATAATCCAGTGACAGCCAAAGTCAAATGCACTTTTGGCAGCTATGTCAGGACATACATATGTTCTAAATAAGACGACTGGTAAATATTTCCCACAGTATCCTACCAAGCATACCAGAGGAAATATGTAGCAACCGTGCTCACACTGAAAACTCTCAAAGCATGCTCAACACTAGCAAAGGAACCCACACATGACAGAGGAGGACGAGCAAGCTGGAAAAGGTATTTAGCAAAGAACTCAGTGACTATAAAAAGCAGATCATTTTTAATATGCCACTCTAAACAATGCCTTCTGTTGTAAGACACAGAGGGATTTTGAAATTTTCCAGACTCAGAAAAAAAATAATCTTCCTTTTTTCCTTAATTTTTAAAGTTCTATTTTTTTTTTTTGTTTTGTTTTGTTTTGTTTTTTTGTTTTTTGAGACAGGGTTTCTCTGTATTGTTTTGGAGGTTGTCCTGGAACTAGCTCTGTAGACCAGGCTGGCCTCGAACTCACAGAGATCCGCCTGCCTCTGCCTCCCGAGTGCTGGGATTAAAGGCGTGCGCCACCAACGCCCGGCCTAAAGTTCTGTTTTTTTACCCTAATTTTTTCTTTGCTTAAAAAATGAAATCTACATTTTTGTTATTTTCCCTCTCAGGTATGTATCTTTGTAAACAATGTAGCCCTTGTCTAGCAGGACCCTTGGATAGAATGGATTAGATTAATTACATAGGTAAAAATACCTTTAATCTGAAATTTTAGTAGTTGTGATGCTGTAATCACGAAGTGATAGGACACTGGAACTCTAGCTGTGGCAGCCCAAGGCAAAAGATGAAAGCTGGCTCCTCACTGGGGAAGAAGGCAAGAGGAGGCTGCAAAGAGGGCACGCTGCGACGCTAAATTCTCCTGCTCTCCCGAAGCCAGGCGGCTAGGCTTTAGGATTGTCTCTCCCTCTGACAGCTAGCAAGGCTGCTACTGTTTTTACTCTTCTTTTCAATATTAACCATGTTTATGTGGGTGAGGGTATGAAAATGGGAGAAAGTAGAAGAGTCTGGGCGACAGATGAGGAGGGAGAACTAGTTATTGAGGATGTTTTTGCCATTAAGACAATTCATATATTGTAAGCTTCGATGATATTTAGAATATACAACATAAATAATATGAAACAAATTATGTTGTAAACTATAAACTATAAATAAATCCTTTCAAAGCCACTTAGGATAAAAAACAAGATTTGCCACAGGAGAGAGAGATAAAGACTTTACATTAAATAATGAAGTCTAATTGTCAAAACTAGTTTCTAATATGTTTACCACAATATCCCATTATTTTAGAAGGCAAATTAGGTAGAGTGTACATAATCAAAGCCTTGCTCTACTTAATTAAATTTCATTTGCATTTTTTGCTTGTAGTCATTCATTCTATAGGTATAGTAAGACAACATAGCATGAAAATGCAAAACAATAAATATCAACCCAGAGGGAAAAAATAGATGCCACTAATAAAAGGAAAATTCAGAATGAATATATTTATAGAATATAGAAAAGTACTAAATACAGTACCTACATTAGGAGGGGTCAAATCTGCATTTCATGAAGCAAAACAGGAAAGTATTATATTATGAGACAGGTAACAACCACCCACACACAATAAGTAATGAATAGGATGATTTTTTTCATATACTCTGAAAACATTAAAAAGAGGAATAACTAAGTCAAACTTGCTTTCAAAGAGAAAATGCTATCAAGAGTCACTTTTGCTAATAGATTATTCATTCTCTATATTGGTAACAGAGTTACATTACAGGATCATTTATGAGACTTCTTTAAATGTCGGATAGTCTTCAATTAAGTCTTCTGGAGAAATGGTAGGTAAGAGCTACTCAGCATTTTCTTATAACAAAATCTAGCAATCACACTCTGTAATCTAAATTTTCTGTGACTGCACATGCTCACACACACACACATGCACGCACGCACACACACACACACACACACACACAATCACAACCACATCAAATCCCACCACAGTCCCTTACCCAGGACAGTTAAGTAGGACAATAAATACCACAGAAAGAAATACAATAATTCAACTCAAGGCAGAAAGAACATACCTTCCAATAAATTCATATCAATATCATTATTATCAGGCTTGTGCAGGCATGGGTATGTGTTAAAGAGATTTGCTACAAAGGCTAGATTTAGCTTGGGGTTTCCTGAAACCACATCTGCAGGGGTAACAAACTGTCTGCAGCCAAGCTTATCGGCCTCCTGAAGCATGAATCCAGCACGCTTCAGGTCGTTTTTCTCCTAAACAAGGAAATAAAACAAAAAATGGTCAATATCAAACTTTTATTTATATAATTTTATTTATATACATGTAAAATATTTACAAGCAATTACATTTCCACAAATGCACCAAATAATAGCAGAATGTGAAAGAATCACAAATCAACCTCCCATTTACTTTAAATATTTTAAAGTCTCTTGGAGGGCTAGAGAGATGGCTCAGAGGTTAAGAGCATCAGCTATTCTTGTGTTCAGTTCACATCACCTATGTGGAGGTTCACAACTATCTGTAACTCCAGTTCCAGGGCATCGGATGCCCTCTTCTGGTCTCTAAAAGTACCAGAAACTTACATGGTACACAGAAGGCAGAAAGAGAAGGATGGAGGGGGAAGAAGAGGAGGACAGGTAGAGCAGGAGAAAGAGAGAGTGCAATATGCTGCATTCACTATTTAGATTCAGAGTTAAAAAGTAGAATAGCAGAGTCACCAAGAGTTGGGGGAAGATATTGGTTGCAGGTGGATGGAAACAGTTTCACAATGAGATTAAGAAAATGCTCTTGGGAGAGACAGTAATGACGTTTACAAAGAACTATGGATGTACTGAATGCCACTGAACTATACACTCAAAAATGATCATTTTTATGTCATCTGTACTATTACTACAATATATAAAATTAGTTTCTAAAAAAATCACTTACATTAAATCCTGAAAGATCAATAGCAATGGCAGGTTCATTATCTCGGTCACCTTTAGGAGCAATTTGATTAAGCAGATGAAAATAGGCTTTTGAGTCCTTCAAGAAAAGAAGAAAATAGCATTTTTAAATGAATAAAATAAAAAAAATTTAGGAGAAAAAGTGTTCTCATCTCAGAACAAAATGGTGTATTAAACAGCTTAGTGCATCTTTACCCAGTTCTTGAATACACAACACTACTTTATGCTTCAGGTTTCTAGCAATGCTCTCTTATACCCTACACCTAGAGCTTCTAGCAATGCTGCTGCCTGTACCTTACATCACCAGGCATCAGTCTCATCTAGGCTTAAGTCAAACATTTACTTTGGGAAGGCTTCACTGGCCTCCCTAGAGAGAACCAATGTTATACGGCACCCTTTTCCATCTCTATACATAAACTGTGACCTCACTAGATTACATCATCTAATGTGGTCATCTCCAAACACACATGTAGCTTTTCCCAGCAGGAAGCCGAAGCTATCTCCCTCCCCGCTTATTTAGGCTGCCCTGGCTGTTCATTCTGACCAAATAATACTGTGAATGTTCTGGGGATTTCAAGCTCCAAATCCCAAGGAGCCCCCGGTTCCTCCCTCTTGAAGTTCACCTCTACCTAAAATGTCCTACTACTATCTGATAGTCTCAGAGTGTAAGGAAGCTTGAGCTAGCCACACGGAAAGGCCTGGCAGAGGAGCAACTGAGACACATGACCAATGCCTTTGTGCACCTTTCAGATCAGCCAAGCTGACAACTGATTCCAGAAGACAAATGCAGAGAAGAACCATCGGCATACAAAATTATGAGAATTACTAAGTCATTTTTTTTGTTTTTTGTTTGATTGTTTTTATTTTTCAAGAGGGTTTCTCTGTGTAGCCCTGGATCCTGAAAAGTCACTCTTGTAGACCAGGCCAGCCTCGAACTCACAGAGGTCCACTGATCTCTGCCTCCCAAGTGGAGGGGGATTAAAGGCATACACCACTACCGCTCCTAATCATTGTTTTAAGTCAGTAAATTCTACATAGTTTGCTAGGTCTAATTGGTAAACTTTTCAAATGCCAGCTTTTACATCGGAACACCTGGTATAATGTCAGGAGATTCTTAATATTTGGATGAACTGAATTTTAAGGAGATTCAGACTACTAAGCTTTTAAAACAGTAGTTAATACCTGAACGCAGAGAAAACTGTATCACCATTGTGGCAAAATGTGACTGACGGCACTGAATTTAAAGAGGAAATATGAATGAAAGACAGCACTATTCTAATTATTTTTCCAGACCATTCTGGAAAAAATAAATCACAGAGAAGAAAAGTCACAGGGATCCATTTTGATAGTGCTTACGACAGCAGTGACCTTGGAAAGTTACTGCTAAGTGGAAGCAGAGAAGAAAAGTGCTTCCAAGCTACTCTGGCTAAGAGACATACCATGAGATCCCCATAGTCAACAGCCCATGTCCTCAGACAACTTGATTTTCTATTTGCTGGTCATTAGCAAACTGGGAGGAAGAGTGTTGAACCCACAGGGCTCCAATTCAGCAAACAGATGCAGTAATTCTTAGCTTCTTATAATTTAGCAGGCCAGTGACAGTGGGAAATGCTTTCATCTGTTAAAATCATCTCCTTCGTCTCATAGTCAGCTGTAAGTCTTATTTTTAAAAGTCACTAAATCAGTTTATTCTTTTAAAAGGTATTTGTGAATGTAACTGGTAGCATCCAAATCAGATGGGAAAAGATAACCCCCCATTTTTCACCCCAAGTATCTTTGTAAATTCAAATTTAAGTCTGAACCCCCTATATGTCTTATAGCCTACACCCTTATTTCATTGTAAACAATCTGAATGTTAACATCTAAACTCCCAGCCAGTGAGATAGCTTGGTGGGTCATGCACTTGCTACGGAAGCCTGGTGTCCTGAGTTCCATCTGCATGGAACATGGAAGCAAGGAGAGAATCAACTCCCACGGCTTGTCTTCTGGCTACCACACAGATATTATGACATATGCTTCCCGCCAAAATAATAGTAACAACAACAACAATAATAATAATATGAATGATTTTCAAAAATCTAAACCTTAATGTCCTGGCTGAAGTTGCTGATGGTCTGCCATCCTGCATTGGTCAGATGGTAGTTCACCCAGCGTAGCAGCAGCTCCTCAGGAGAAAGCTTCATCAGCTCCTCTAGCTCCTCCCCTTCCTTCAGCAAGGCAATCAAAGCTAAGAGGGAAGCAGGGAGAGGTCAGCTCTTCCTTCACGAGCTATCCACACGTAAAGAGTAATGTGTCTGACGAGCTTACCTTCATTCCTGGAAATCTCAATATCAGCAAAAAGCCCAACTTTGATGATCTGCCAGAGAAGCCCCAGGACCAAGTGCGGCTTTCCCTCTTTCAGATCCTGGGCACCAATGTTGACCACGGTGCACCCAATGGCTGAGGCGGAATTCAGGGCTAGATTCAGATTTTCCTGAATTGCCAAAAGAAATACACAAGTGAGGAAATATTTCTAAGGTCTTACCCACAAAGTTGTTTGTAACAACTGATTGAAAATTTTCATATTTTTAAGCATAATATTTACAAAAGTAAACTACTACTAGTGGAACTCACATGGTTAACTGTCATCTAGACAGGCCAATGAATGTCAGATTTCCATCTTTAGACACTCCTGCAAACACCTACTTCAAACTCTATGGTTGTATATCGTCTTGGTTATATCTACTGTGCGTTCTAACAGCACCTCAAACTCGGCATGTTCAGAATACTCAGCTCTTCTTGCCATCCTTCCCGTCATCCTACCGTCCCTAGTACTGGCAGTTCTCACTGTCTCAGTTGCTAGGTGCAAGCTTTGGTCTTGCTTCCTTTCTTCCCAGGCCAGAAGCCCAAGCAGGGTCATTGCTCTTCCTTACCTTCCACAGTCAGTCATCAATTTCTATCAACGTGCCTTTCTTTGATAGTTTCCTAACCCTGAATGACCGTTCTCACGCTTTCCCTGCCCAACCTGTTGCCCGTAGTGCTCTAGCATCAGCTGTCCTAGGAAACATAAACCGAGGCTATTGGTGAAGTTTAAAACCTTCCACATTTTCCTGTCACTGCCGTTACTCACGTTCTCTCCTTCTCCCTTGCTCCATTACTCTCTTGCTCTCCCTGCTCAAACTGCACAGGACCTTTGACCTGAGTCAGTCCCCTCCTTCCACCATGTGGAAGATCAAATACAGTTAATCAAGCTTGGCAATAAGCAATTTTACCCACTGAGCCATCTTGCTGGTCTGCCCAGTTACTTTAAAACTTGGTTCAAACACACCTAATACCTGGATATCCTACACAAAACAGCATCTCCACACACATCCCATACTTTTCCCAATTTTACTCCTATCTCTCAAAAATATATATTACCAGCCAAGCAAGGTAGTACCTACAGCGGCAATCTAACACATAGGAGGTAGAGGCAAGTGGAGTTCAGGGCCAGCCATGGCTACAAAGCAAGATCAAGACCTGTTGAGTGACATGAGATATTGTCTCAAAAACCAAAACAACAAACAAACAAACAAAAAGACAAAACAATCCTCAGGCCCATTCACACAAACAAGGCAATGCAATGCAGTATTACTATACCTACTTGTTTCTTGTTAGATCTCCAGTTAAGAATTATTATTTTTTTCTTTAGTGTTAGGGCATAAACACTGGGCCAAAACTCTACCTCAGAATCCCAACCCCTGCACAAGCAACAGAGCAAGAAAGCCCTTCAGCACCTTTAGAAGCTCACAATTCACTTACTTCATACCAATCTGAAAGAGCTAGCAGTACTTGGCAAATACTGCAACTGAAGGCTTATAAAACATTTAATAGCTTCGGGTGCTTTGAAATACCCAAAGTCAAATCAATACAATTTTCAAGACACATCCTCTGCAAACTTAGGCTTGACCACTAACCGTTTCCTGGCTTTTCCTTCCAGAACATAAAGAATGCATTAGCAAGCGGGGAGAACTGGGCTTGCAATGATTACAACAAACTTAACTTTACAATAACCCACTTCATATTTGTTGACACCAGGAAGCTGTGTTCAAAAGAAGTATGCAAGTACATTAAATTGACTGTAATCATAAGTAAGAATCACAACCTTTTACCCCTGTTCTCTCACAAAATAAAGCATTTAATCGAGGGTTTGCTTACAGTTTCAGGCTAGTCCATAATCATCTGTGGTGATATATTGTTTATGATCTAATAAAGCCACTGGAGATCAGAATGCAAAGCTGGCCATAGCCATAGAGCCAGGCAGTGGTGATACACACCTTTAATTCCAGCAGCCATACTAGTTAGCCATAGAGGCCAGGCAGGGGTGGGACACATCTTTAATCCCAGGAGTCAGGAGACAAAGGCAGATGGATCTCTATGAGTTCAAGGCCACCCACGGTTACATTAGAGTGAATCAGTCTAAAAGAGAAACAGCTCACACAAAGGAGATCTCAGCACTTGGGATCCCATCCCAGCTCTAGAGAGGTATAGAAGATAGGACTAGGACATTCAGTAGTCAGTCTCAGAGATTTATTCCCCAGTCCTGCTGAGGACAGGACAGCTCTTTCAGCCTGAGATAGAAGTAAGAGCTAGTGGTCGACTGCTTTACTTTTCTGATCTTCAGTGGCTTTATTAACTCATAAACAATAAATCACCACAAGCAGAAAGGCATGGCCCTGGAGTAATAGCTAAGGGGGGGGAGGAGAAGGGAGAGGGAGAGAGAGATGGAGGCCTGGGCTTTTTTTTTTTTGAAACCTCAAAGCCCACCTCCAGTGGCATACTTCTAGCAAGCCCACACCTCCTAATCCTTCTAATCCTTGCAAATAGCTCCACACCCCCACACCCCCACCCCCCACCCCCGGTGACTGAGCATTCATAGATAAGCCTCTGAGAAGGGCCAGTCTCACTCAAACCACCACAACTGGCTTTGTTGTTGTTCATGTTGTAATTGTCTCGTTTTTGCTTTTATTATTATTGGTGGTGGTGGTGGTGTTTACATTTGGTAACAGACAGATTCAATTTCTTTTTTGTTGTTGTTGTTTCGTTTTTCTAAATCTAAGATTTTTAAATTCTACTGCAGCAATCTTGTGGGGTGCAAACATTTTTACTGTGTTATATGCTGGTTATTTTTGCCTTTCCATCAAGACAGTAAATTTTATACTTAGCAATACTATAAACAATGTATGTACAGTAATCAGGAATGCTTTCAGAGCATTTCTTTATTGACTTCTATGTCAGGTTTTTTGTTTTGCTTTGTTTTCTTCATTTTTTAAATCTAAATTAGAAACAAGCTTGCTTCACATGTCAATCCCAGCTCCCTCTCCCTCTCCTCCTCCCCCGACCCTCACCAGGCCACTGAGCCCCTCCTTCCAATCCCCCCTCTGATCCATCCCTCGGGAGGGTGAGGCACTCCATGGGGATCTCCAGAGTCTGTCATTTCATCCAGGCCCTCCCACTAGAGTCCAGGCTGAGAGAGCATCCCTCATTGTGGGATGGGCACCCAAAGTCCATTCATATGCCAGGGATAAATACTACCCAAATCTCCATAGATTGCCTAGACCTCCTCGCTGACACCCATTCAAGGGGTCTGGATCAGTTCCATGCTGTCCTCCCAGCCATCAGTCTGGGGTCAAAGAGCTCCCCCATGTTCAGGTCAGCTGTTTCTGTGGGTTAAACCAGCCCAGTCTTGACCCCTTTGCTCATAAGTCCTCCCTCTCTCAGACAGACTCAATTTCTTGTAGCTCGTTTTGTATTGGTTTTCTTTTTTCTTTCTGTTTTGAGAGTCTCCTATAGCCCAGGCTCTCCTCAAATTTATTCTGTAGCCAAGGATGTCCCCTAACTCCTGTTCCTCCTGCCTCTGCCTACAAGTGCTGGAATTACAGACATGTGTCACCACACTGGGCTTGATTTTCTGACTTTCAGGTCTTCACATTACTACTGTTTTGCAATCTTTAAGTAATTACTGTTATTTGGTAGTAATAAAGAAGCATGCTAACTCACTCACGGTCATAAAACTTTCTCATGGTGTCTTTCTTTTAAATGTATTTTTTTTATTTAGCACATGTATTCATGTGCCCAGGTGCCCTACAACACACGTGTCTAGGTCAGAGGACAGCTCGCAGTGGGTGACACTCTCTGCCCACCATATGGGCGGGCTCTGGAGACTGAACCCAGATTCTTAGGCTTGGAAGTAAGAGTCCTTATCTGCTGAGCCAGCTTGCCAGCCCTCACATTACCTTTTTGTGTATGTGTGCATGTTTATGTGGACATGTATTTTTTAGCCTAGCCACGTATAACCAACAGAGTACTCACAGAGATCGTGAACGGAGTGAGTTTCTTCTTATTGATGGCCCTTTCATCAATCGTGTCTGGTTCCGATAAGTTGACCATTTTGCTGAGGAGAAAATAGGAATCATTTAGATGAAAATTTCTAGAGATGTTTTAATCCATTGTGGCAAGCAGTCAGATTAGTTACTTTTCAACAGTGATAGTAAGCCATTCTATTCTACTAAGCTGCAGTTCAAGTCAGAAGCTTCATTTGAAAGCCTAAGACACTGTCTAGGTCCTGAAGTATAACTGCAGCAGTCACCTGCCCACCCTACAGCAGTCACCTGTCCACTTTACTGGAGTCACCTGTGCTTTCTGCATCTGTCCTGAAGCTCACCTGCCCTCTCTACAGTCACCTGCGCTTTCTGCATCTGAATCTTCACCAGATGGTCATTAACATTAGCAACCTGAAATGTAGACAAATTCTGAAGCAGCTAACTTTCACAGAAATCAACACACTGTCGTCTCAGAGATGAAGGAACAGAAGCCTCAGTTGAAGACTTCAATAATTTAGACATTTAAAAAAGAAATATTACAGATTTTTGTCTCTATGTTTCAGAATACATTTTATCTTTGGAAACTAAAATAGGAAAGTACAGATTTGATTCACAGTTAGACATTCTCTACAAATTGGGGGAAGAGATAAAAATTATAAATGGGGCTGAGGTATATTTTATAGATACCAATTTCCTCTACTTATGGATATGTTTAGGGATTGTTTTCTTTTAAGTACATTGTCTCCCTCCCTCCCTCCCTTTCTGTCTCTCTCTGTCTCTCTGTCTCTCTTTGTCTCTGTCTCTGTCTCTCTCTCTCTCTCTCTCTCACACACACACACACACACACACACAAACCACTAAAGACAATGAGCCACAGTACTGAGTTAACCACAAGGGGTATTCGTATTTGTGATATGTATTTTCTACTTTGGAAGTGAACTATGTATTTTTTAATAAAGATGCCTGCATTATATAAAGATGTGTACTGGGACTTGGTGATGAAAAGATGGCTCAGTAGTTCAGAGCAGTTCTTGGTCTTGCAGAGGACCAGAGTTCAATTCCCAGCACCCACAAGGTGGTTCACAAGCATCCCTAATTGCAGCTTCAGGGATCTGATATCCTCTTCTGACTTCTGCATGCACCAAGCATGGGCACACACACATGCAAGCAAAATACACATGCAAAAGAAAACATGCTGTGACTATACACATTGATACACATGACAAAGATAAATGCACTCTCTTAGAAAGTTTATAGTGTAGTAAGCAAAACAGACTGAACAGAGCCAAGGCTGAAATGAAACACTGTTTCATTTAGGCTTAATGAAGGAGTATCTTCCTTCTGTGTCTCCTCAGGCTCCTGCCTGGGTCAGCACTCTTTTATGGGGAAGTGAAAAGAAAAACCATGTCACCATTTTGCAATGCAGGATCATGGCAGCAGACACAAAAGGCACCATAAAATAAAATATTATATTACAGTGAAAATTCTGAAAAGTATATGGTACTCAAATTTCTAGGCAATCATGCTAAGTCCAAAGAAAACGAATCTTTCTATGACCAGAAGTTCAACTCACCAAAGAAGGATGCCATCTGCAAGCGATTTGAACAGGCTGTCATCGCTGGGGTTCATGGGCAGAAGATGGCTACAGTCTGGGTCATTCTCTAGAGCTTTGTTTATCCAGTTGACAAAAGCTACTTTTTCTTCATCTGAAAAGAGAAAATCTTGGTAGGCAAACTGTACTTTACGGTATTTATCATCCTACAAGAATGTACTTGTTCATTTCTATTAAAAAATAACAAGTGACACTATTAAAACACTACTGAGAGACCCTCAAGGATTTAATATATGGAGGAAGAGGGATTCATTGTACTTTTTCACTCAACATATTAGAAGGCAAGAAGGAAGACATGCACCTTAACTTAGTATAAAATGCATGTGGTTTGATGTTAAAAAAAATCTTTCCAAATGTGAACTGTTTCTAAAATTATGTGAATTAGAGACATACCACAAGAGGTCAAACACACGCACATACATATAGATTGTTTAAATCAGAGAAAAAGAAGAAAAAATTCATGGACATAAACTCCATCACTGGGACTGGGAAGAAGGTGGCCAGTGAGAGTGGGAGAGAAACAATATGGTCCAAATACATTATACATGTGGGCAAAAAGCACGGTGAAACCCAGTACTGAATATAAACATATGCTACACATGAGTAAAGCACGGCAGGGCACACGCGTGCGCACGCACACACTCACAGAGTTGATGTGATTCTGGGGCAAAGCTCTTGCCTATCATACAGAAGGCTTATTAAATGTGTTAAGGTCACTTTGGGTTTCAAACTGAGCAAAAGATCCAGTGATCCTATCACTGGACACATCAGGTGGCATGCCCTCTATTCAGTGGCTTGATCAAAAACAGAATCAAGTATCTCCACTCTTAGAAAACAGACAGGAAAAAAATGCTTATACTAGATCGTTTCTACAAGTCAAGCCTGCCATCATGACGAGAAACCCACTCAAAAGTGGTGATGAAAGCTTGGTATAGCCAAGCGGTACAGCACTTCCCAAGTATGCATAAGGCCTGAGATTTGATCCTCAGAGACCACTCCCTAAAATCCTTTACAACTACTCCAGACATCAGAATTAAACCCACCCAGAGCTGAAATACAAACAGCATCTGTTTCGTTTCCAATGCTTTTGATTGACATACAGTAGGAACATACAGATTTTCAGTAATTCTGGTGTCTGTCATGTTGGCAGTGCTAAACTTGAGATATATTTAAATCTGATGTCACAGTATAATATGCCTGCAGCTTTTTTCTCCCTCCACTGTATATAAAAATAATGGTATGAATCACAACAGCAGCTTAGACTGGATGGCATGTGGCATGTACTAAATGAATCAACGATTAAAGCCAAATTCAGAGAAGTAGATTACCTGAGTAGGAATGCTGTGTACCCTCGCTGGAAATAGATGAAGTTCCCCCGATAGCAGTAATCCCTTCTCTTTTGTTAATTATTTTCCGGAATGTTTTGCTGATATCTTTGCTTTTTAACTCTTGCATTAGCTGGAATGGAATATAAGTAAAATTGAGACATTCTAGTAACATGAAGGACATTCAGTGCTCACATTCATTTGAAATGACAACAACATAAATATGAATTGGGTACCCTCATACTTAACACTTGTGTAAACAGACAATTCTGTTATTTTACCAATTATACAAAAATGGACCAATGTTTATAACCCAACAACGGGAACATGTTACAACTGAGCTGAAACTAAACACACTGAAAATATTATTGACTAGCCAAGGTCTTCTATGCTACATCTCAAGAAATCACAGCATGATAACGATTTTAAGATACTTTAGTGAAGGCAGACTCCTGCCTGAGCATCCTGAGTATAAATACATGTTCACATAAATAAGTCAGCTTTTGTAGGAAATACTAGAGGCTTACAAAAACTGCATCACCCAGTTATTCACTGGGTTCTACAAAGACCAGTAAGGCTAAATTTAAAAATTTCTTCATGCACTACCAGTGATGATTTTTTATGCAAATCTAATCACATCACTTTATTCTTCCCACTCGGGTGACCTACTGTTGCAATAGGATAAAAACAAAGATCTTACATGGCCCTACAAGGCACGATTCCTGCATAATGTCTCCAGCTACATTCCTTACCTCCTCAGCTCTAGCCATACTAATCACCTTGTAGACACTTGAGAGATCCAGCAACTCTAATAACACAGGGTCTCAGGACACACTGCCAAGTCTACCTGCTTCCCACATTATTTGCACCTCCATTCCTATTTAACTTCTTTCTTCAGATGTCAGCTCATCACAGATAGAAGGATACTTCCCCGAGTCCCTGGGTCTCCCCTTCAAGTTCAACTCCATCCATCCTAACTGCTCATGGAGTCCGTGCTGTTCTACCACAGCAGTTGCCATAGTTGGCATTTCTATCCATTTGTGTGATTCTGCCTTCCCCCACAAGTACATACCATGAAAGCAAGGACCATGTCGTTTCTGCTCATCACATTATTCACAATGTCCAGAGCTCACATATTTAATTAATAAAGAATATACAACTAGAAAATGTTTATTTTATCAAGACTTATTCAATTATGCTAATGGTCAATAATATACAACTTAAGTACAGTAATTCTAGGGCATGAATGGCTATTATCTGAACTGGATTTCCATTCAATGTGATTTGCTCTTTGGCTTACAGAAATGATTTTCACAGTAATATCTGTTATTAGCATCATCTCCATCATTTTAAAAGCAGTGTTTTGTCTGGACTCTGCATCCAAGTCAAAACAAAACTAACAACAGCATTATTGAAATTCTACTTGCAACAAAATGATCAAAAACTTAGAAGAGTATTGGGTTACTTACTGACACGAATTCTTCAAAACTGATTTTGCCATCTTTGTTGCTGTCAGTAAACACGAAAATTTTCTCCACAATCTCACGCACCTTGTACCCAGGAAGAGGAAGATTTGCCTCCTTAAACAAGTCCTGAAGTTCATAGTCACTAACATATCCACTGTTGTCAATATCTGTAAAGATGTACGGTAAATTGTCAAACGCAGAAAACCCAGAACTCTAAAAGTTTGCTTCATAAGTGGTGGTAGTAGCCTTCCTTCCTAAACCTGAATAATGCAGGGTGCACGTGGATTAGTCACTTCTCTGTTGCTGTGATAAACACAGTGACCAAGACTACTCACAGAAGAAGTTTATTTGCACAAAACTCAGTTTTAACAAATGACTAAATCTCAGAGAAATAAGCCTGGAGAAGTGTCAGATATATATGAAAAGAAAAATATCAGTCAAAGTCAAAATGGAATAACCAATCAGATTTTATGCTGATAAATTTATTAAATGAATCTGCTGGCCCCACATTCTTTATATACTATCTATCTGCAACATATATGACATATGTAATCAACAGAACTCTACTCCTAAAATATGCAATCATTTTCTTTATATTTTATTTTTGGTGACAGTTTATTTATTGATCATTTATTGCTTGCTACATATTTATCATACCATTATGTATGTTTAATCATGTTTGATGACATTTTGAGATTAGGTGTTCAAGAAATTTCACCCTATATTTGGACTTTTAGAAACAAACTTCTAAGTATTTTTTGTTACCACAAAGATAGCATTAGGCAGGTTGTAGGGTTCCCTAGAAATCAGGAGCACTTCTGGACTCAGAACAAAGATAACATAAAACAAATCTGCATAGTTGGCAACACGTCAAGATGCCAAGTTGGTTATTCTGGCTATGACAAGGAATCACCTCGTACAGAATCTCTGGTGGCTAAGTTTTAGAGTCTAGAGTGGTACCCATTACATCAGATAATTACATCGTTGTCAACCTGAGAAGATTCAGAACCAGGAAACACACCACCGGGTGTGTCTAGGAGGTGTTTCTGTAAAGGTTTAACTGAAAAGGGAATACCTATCCCAACTGTGGTCAACACCAGGCCAGAAATTGAGGTTCCTGCTGGAGAAAAGTAGACTGCGAACTGAGTACCAACACACACACCTTTGCTAACGTCCCCTTCTCTTTTTACTGCACTGTTACATCTTGCACTTTTCTCTTCCCCTTGGTAACATTTCCACATTTAAACTTTTTTTAAACTTCACCCAATATTCTACATTAGTTTCTCTAACTGATACTGGAGAATAAGCCCTTGGGTGTAGGATACTCAGTAAAAATATCCCCAAATAAAAAGGAGAACAAATATTCAAACTATCAGATGTGTCATAGCAGCAAAGAAACATAAAAAAAACAAGACAATATGGCTTCCCCAAAAGATCATAATTCCCCAACTACTGAAGTCAAAGTTACTGAAATAGAGGTAATGCTGGATGAAGATCTCCTAAGTTCACTAATATAAATGGTCATTGACGTCAAATAGGAATACAAACAAGTAGGTAAAGGAAGGAAATCAGTCCAGAGTACAGCAACACTGAGGACCAAGTCAATAAACTATGAGTAAATCAACCACATGTATAAAAATGTCAGAAACAAGGAAAAGAAAGTCAGCAAAAATATTGATGGTTGGGGGACACTAAATGAACAGAAATTCTGGACATTGAAACTTTATAAATCAAATAAAAATACAGTGGAAAGCACCCATTGTCAACGATCTCAACCAAGCAAAAGAAAGAAAATCAGGGATGGGTAGCAATGTCAATACAGTACTATAGTCAAACATTAACAAATGGGGAGAAGGAGAGAGAATGACCATAATGTCTAAGAACTCTAAGATGATTAAAAGATTAAAACTAATAATCTCTCTCTCTCTCTCTCTCTCTCTCTCAGTGTATGATGTGAAATTCCCAAAGAATCAATTAAAAATATATTAAAAAATAAGATCCAATCATTTGCTATTTCCAAAGATCATAGCTCACTGGCAAAAAAGCATTCACAGACAGGCAGACGAAAGATGATGTCAACCTACCAAACACAGAAGCCATCAAATACAAGATGGCATAGTTACTTCAATAGCTGATAAAGTAGATTTCAAACCAAGTTACTCAGAAGAGATAAAGAATGTAGCCACAAATTAATAAAGGGAAATATTCATCAAGATGATAAAATAATTATATATATATACATATATATATATATATGATGGGGAATGTCCTTCTGTATGCTGTGAATATATGTTTCGCTTATTGGTTGATAAATAAATGCTGATTGGCCATTAGCCAGGCAGGAAGAATAGGTGGGGCTACCAAACTAGAAGAATTCTGGGAAAGGGAAAAGGCAGGGAAAGAGTCAACAGGGAGATGCCATGTAGCTATGAAAGGAGCATTACGGGTAAACCAAAGCCTTGCAGTAATACATATTTTAATAGAAATGGGCTAATAATTAAGAAAGAATTATCCAATAGAAGCCTGAGCCATTGGCTAAACAGTTTATAGTCAGTAGAAGCCTCTGCGTATTTATTTGGGGCTAAACAGATGCGGAACCAGACTGGGACAAAAACTTCCATCACACACACACACACACACACACACACACACACACAGAGAGAGAGAGAGAGAGAGAGAGAGAGAGAGAGAGAGAGAGAGAGAGAGAGAGATTGGATGTCGGGGTTCCCAGTTTCATAACGCAGACACTAATAGCAGAAGAAGTCAATTAGACTCTGATACGGTAACAGTAGGAGAGATTCAATACCCCCACTCATCTTTAGGTACATCATCTGTTCAAAATCAACAATAAAACATCAGAGTTAACTACACCATAGACCAAATGTACATAGTGGTTATCTAATAACAAGCTTTAAAAACAAAAACAAAACCTTAGGAATAAACCTAAGCATGGAGACAAAAGACCTCTATAATGAAAACTTTGAAACAATGAAGAACGAGTCTGGAGACACTAAATGGTGGAAAGACCTCTTATGCTTATGGATGGCAGAATTAATATTTTTATAATATTAATTATTAAAAACAATCCACATACTCAATGCAACCTCTATCAGAATTCCAATGACATTCTTCACAGAACCAGAAAAAATATCTTAAGATTCATATGGGAACACCAAAGATTCTTAATATCCAAATCAACCCTAAGCAAAAGGAACAATGCTGGATGCCTTACAGCATCCCAAACTATACTACAGAGCCACAGCAACCAAAACAGCACGGTACTGGCACAAAAACAGACAGGTAGACCAATAAAATGAAATATAGGTCCTAGAAATAAACTCATACACATCTATAGCCACCCAATCTTTGACAATGGTGGAAAAAAAACATTGGAGAGAAGATCCTTCTGGGAAAATGACATCACCATGTTAAAAAGAAAGAAAAAAAATATAGATTCATTCTCACTCACCCTGAACAAAAATCAATTCAAAAAGGAACCAAGATCTTAGCATAAGATCCCAGACTGAAATCACTAGTGCGAAACACAAAGAATACACCCAGAGATAAGCAAAGGTCTTGAATATACATTTCTCTAGAGAAAGCATACAAATCACCATAAAAATATTTCAATATCTGTACTTATTTGGAAAATGCAAAACCACAACAAGTCACTACTAGTAGCCCTTTAAGGGCGGCTGTTAGAAAACAACAACAACACAGCAAGTACCAGTGAGGATGAACAGAAATGAGAACATAAGTATCATGTTGGTGGGGATGAAAGCCAGCACACCCACAATGAAAAACAGCTGCACACCAGACAATTAAACGTGGAACTGCGATGTGACCCTGTAAGTCTGCAGTAGAGTACACCCAGAAGTGATGGTGGAGCTTGAGCAAGTGTTTGTGCACCTGTGTTCACAGAATGCAATTCAAAACAGCCGGAAACCCAGATGGCTATCAATGAAAGCACTGGCAAGCAAAACACTGCTGTCTACATACACAATAGAATATTAGCCAGGCTTTAAAAGGAAGACGGTTGTGACATATGCTACATCATGAAAGCATTAGCTCACACAAAGTGAGAAAGCATTCAAAGCCACAGATAGAGTATGATTCTCTTTATGTGCAGTACCTAGAAGAGGGAAATTTGGACAGAAGGGAAGGGAGAGTGGTGGTCTCTGGGGGCTGGAGGAGAAGGACACGGGAGCTGCTGTTAACAGATGTGGAGTTGTAGGGTGGCAGAATGAGAGGGACGGCTGGAAAAGGATGGCAGTGCTGAATAATATGAATGTACTTGATCCCATTGAACTGTACACTCACAAGGGTCAAAATGGTGTTTCAACCCAATTTTAAAGAGAAAACAGGACAGACAGATATTTTTAACTTCCCACTTTCCCCAGTGACCTCAAAATCCTCCCTCTGGTAAGGTGGCATAGGTGTGGTCACTAAGGAGTTGTTTGTACTTGCTGAGTTCATGAATCACAGTTTATCTTGTAAAAAGTCAGTGAGGACATATTCTGCTAGTGCTAGTAGTTCTCTCACAGCACAAACTATCTTGCTGCCAAAGTTATTTCATCAGTGGATTGTCTACTCAAAATACCATTAATTAAATATTGCAAGATTATGTTTCCATGAGTCAGAAAGATTAAAGTTGGCATGCTTGACAAAGAAAACAGATTACTAACTCATTTTACTGAGACCCAGGAAGGGTCTCTTTCATTAAAAGGCACCTAAAAAATGACTGCAATGCCAAACTGACAGATCCAATTTTGTTAGGTTGTTTTGGATGCCTAAAATAAGAAAGAACATTCAATACTGCCCAGCTCTTAGCTTGAAAAATATGCCGAGCACCACAGACAATATTCTAAAACATTTATTGCTAATAGCTTTCTGCAAATCATGCCATGTGCATGCAATGTTACAGTGACTGATGGGAGTGTTTCCACTTCCAGGCAGAAGAGCAAGGCACAGACTTTTCAGAAGTGCTTATTTACACGCCGAAGATCCGCGAATACCTTTCTGAAGACAAGCTAAGCTGTATTTTTAACAACTATTATTATTGTATTCTAATGTTCACCCTACATGAATTTTAATCATTGTTGGAGAGGCTGGTGAGAAATCCAAGAGTGAGAGCACCCACAAGCACCCACAAATACCCACAAATACCCACGAGCACCCACAAACACCCACAAGCACCCACGAGCACCCACAAACACCACAAACACCCACGAGCACCCACAAACACCCACGAGCACCCACAAGCACCCACAAATACCCACGAGCACCCACAAGCACCCACAAACACCCACGAGCACCCACGAGCACCCACAAACACCCACGAGCACCCACAAGCACCCACAAACACCCATGAGCACCCACAAACACCCACGAGCACCCACAAACACCCACAAATACCCACAAACACCCACGAGCACCCACAAACACCCACAAGCACCCACAAACACCCATGAGCACCCACAAACACCCATGAGCACCCACAAACACCCATGAGCACCCACAAACACCACAAACACCCACGAGCACTCACAAACACCCATGAGCACCCACAAACACCCACGAGCACCCACAAACACCCATGAGCACCCACAAACACCCACGAGCACCCACAAACACCCATGAGCACCCACAAACACCCACGAGCACCCACAAACACCCACGAGCACCCACAAACACCACAAACACCCACGAGCACTCACAAACACCCATGAGCACCCACAAACACCCACGAGCACCCACAAACACCCATGAGCACCCACAAACACCCACGAGCACCCACAAACACCCACGAGCACCCACGAGCATGATGACAGCATTGCCCCACTACCTGACTTGTTTTCCATGCAGTGCTTCCTTACCCAAGAAGTCTGCTGAGGACAGGGGTCACTTTCTACTCGCATACATTTACAAACTAAAGCAAAAAATCCAAAAAACAAAAAAAGAAATGGGGGGGGGAAGGAAGGAAAGAAAAAGTGTGCATATTCTCCTTTTTCATCAGTTTTCAAAGAGGAAAGTGTGACACTGAGGTTCCACAGACATCGAGAAGTGTTTTCAGAAGAGGGAAGTACAAAGCTGCTAAGCCAGTAACATCAAAACAAAACACGGGATGATTCCAGAGAATGAAAGGAGAAAAAGGAGACAGTCAGGTTTTGAAAACAATACTGAGTTTTTTTTTTAAACTTATGCATAAGAGGGAAAACAAGACATTTAAAAACTGTATTTTTAAGCATTCTGCATTAAGGTAGAAGGTACTGTTGCTAGTGACAAAGACATATGGGCAGAGTTCAGTTTGTACACAAGGAAGTGTTTCTGTATTTTCTTTTCTGTGATGAGGATAGCATGGAAAGTGTATTCAGTTACACCATCATTCATTAACCTGGATTATCCTCTGCACAGGAATGACCAACAATTAAAGTCCAACTCACCTAGAAGTGCCAGCTCATCTCTAGCTTATCTTTCAGAAAGAATGCAGTTAAACCCTGATTTTAAGAAAAGAAAGGAATGTCCTTGAGAGAGCTGAGTGGCAGCAGAAGTCAGAGGCGTGGCTCCATCCCTGAAGTCTGGTAGCCAACAGAACTGGAACACCACAGTTAGGCTTCCTGGAACTTACCTATTTTATTAAATGCTTCTTGAAGCTCCTCAAGCTCCTCCCGAGAAATGGTGGTGGTACTGTTTTCCATCTTTAGACAGGAAAGGCTACTTCAGGTCTTTATATCTAGAAAGAACATATTACAGAGAGAATATTAGCTCTCGGGAAACATTTGGTTAAGGCCTGTAAGGCACAGAGGCAGCACAATCTCTGCAAAGTCTGGCTGACAACAAGGAACAAAAAACGGTGGTGTCTCCTAGTGACACTTCCAGCACAGCCAGGAAACAACAGACAGTATTGGGGGACGGGAGGAGCCTTGCTTTTTACACCCCAAGCTTCTACAAGACACGAACCTTCTCAACAGTCTGTATAATTTTCATTTATATTTTATATGACTCTTTCAGTTTGAGGGAAGCATAATATTTGCAAGCATAAAGGCCAAGGAAAGCAAAACTTAATGACATGTGTAATAGCCACAAAAACAGTTAGCGTCTGCTCATGCAGAGATGAATTTACGGTTGAAATGATTGCCTTCAAAATAATCCAACCATAGCCACATTCCCTGTGAGAGGTCAGTCCAGGTTAGTGGAACCCTTCTCAGAACAGGAGAACAAACTAAAAAACATGTGTGAAATTAAGCTATAAGAAAGTAAGAAGTAGGCTCAGTGGTTAAAAGTATGTGCTGGGCTTGCAGAGGCCTTATGTTCAATTCTCAGTACCCATACTTAGTGGCTCACACCCGTGTGTAACTACAGTTCCAAGGCTTTTCTGGCCTCTGCAAGTACTGTTTACATATGGTTCACATGCAAACAAGCAGGGGCACACATAAATAAAAACCAGGAAAAAAGATAGTGTTGGCTGTATAAAGTACACACAAAAATTTTAAATTATGGGCTGGAGAGATAACTCAGTGGTTAAGAGCACTGGCTGGTCTTCCAGAGGTCCTGAGTTAAATTCCTAGCAACCACATGGTGGCTCACAACATCTGTAATGAGATCTGGTGCCCTCTTTTGGCCTGCTAGCATACATGCAGACAGAATATGTATGTGTAATAAATAAAAAATAAATCTTAATTAAAAAATTATACTCATCTTATTATCCAGGAATAACACCTAATTAATATCTTTTTTATCTTTTCTCAGATCCACTTTCTAAGCCCAGGTACCACTGTGTGGTGGTGGTGGTGGGGCGGTAAAATGTGAGCATACTATCATATTTAAAATTAATGCATTATTAGTATTCTTTCATGTTGTTTATCAAGAAATCATGTAATAACCACACATATTACTATCTCAAAATTAATCCTTGCAGGGTATTTACATGGTTTCCAATTCTTACACACAATGCCTCAAAGAACATACTTGCTCTAGAAAACTTTTTGATAGGCTGGCCTCAAACTCATAGAGATCCACTTGTCTCTGCCTCCTGAGTGGTAGGAATAAAGGCGTGCACCACCCTGCCTGGAAGTTAGGGCTTGGTTACATCGTGTTAAGAGATTTATTAGCAGGACCTCTAAGCATAACTTGCTAGTTTTTCGAAATGTTGTTCCAGTGGTGGTCACTGTGAACCTCTGCGGTCTCGGCCATCTTGCCTGTCTTATTCAAAATGATCTCTGGCACTTGTCTACAGTTTTAAAGGCTGCAAATTAACTGTGCTGAGAACTTCACTTCTGAAATGGTAACTATTGTAATTCAAGAAAAGCAGTGCAGCCTGGAGGTGGTGGCTCATGCCTTTAATCCCAGCACTTGGGAGGCAGAGAGAAGTGGATCTCTATGAGTTTGAGACCAGCCTGGTCTACAGAGTGAGTTCCAGGGCAGCTTCCAAAGCCACACAGAGAAACTCTGTCTCAAAAAAAGAAAAAAGAAAGAAGGAAGGAAGGAAAGAAAAGAAAAGCTGACTAGAAACAAGCCAAGCTAAAGTCAGGTATTTATAAGTAAAAATAAGTCTCTGTGTATTTATTTGGGAGCTTGGTGGTGGGCCCCAAAGACCAAAGAGCAGAAACAAAACAAAAAACAACTACATATACTCTTTTGTAATGCCTGTATGCATACGTGTTCATATGTTTATAGGTCTGTGTAATTATGTGTACCTTTTGCATGTAGAGGCCAGAGATCAATACTGCATGTCTTCCTTAGTCACTCTCCACCTTAGTTTTAGGGCAAGGTCTCTCCCTGAGCTTAGAACTCAATCACTGGTTGGGAACAACCAGCAACACTGGTTGGGAACAATACCCAGGGACCCACCTATCTCCATCCCTCCAATGCTAGGACTACAGACACTCACCCTAGACCTGGCTTTTTACATGGTGCTAGGGATCAGAACTTAGGCTCACACACCTGCATGGAAAGTGCTTTACCAATCAAATTTACTTATTTATGTATCTTACGTATATGAGTGCTCTGTCTGCACATATGCCTGCAACCAGAAGAGGGCATAGGCTCCCATGAGAGATGGTTGTGAGTCACCATGTAACTACTGGAAGTTGAACCTCTAGAAGAAGAGCCAGTGTTCTTAACTGCTGAGCCATCTCTTTAGCCCTCTTTAAGACACTTCAGGTATATAAAATAAGATTGTTTTTAATCTAAATAAAAGTTAATAAAAAAGACACTTCAGTGACTTATGAAAATGAAATTTAAATCCAAGTCTTAACTTCCTAACTTACTGTTGTTACCACTTAATGCTCATTAAGTGTCAGTAAGACAACAATTATATAGGGGGGGAGATGTGAACTGCTTCTCGAGAGGAAATGCAGATGGACAAGTGGTGGAAAAGAAACCTTTTTGTTATAAAACACTGTGTCCTTTTAGAACATAAACCTTCTAATCCCTCTAAATAACTGAAAAACAGCAAAGGTTTTTGTTGTGGTAAAACAGTGAATAAAATATGGTGAGTACTAGCAGTCTGGATACACTTTTCTAAATGTTGATAGTGACAATATTATATATAAACTTATTACCTATATATTAGCATTTTAAAGAATGCTGGTATTTCTTTATATTGTAAAATACTATGATTAAAACACTAAATATATACACTTTAACAAAACTGTCTTCACTGCTCTGTGTGTATTCTTATTTAATCCCAGCACTCCATGACACGGTTCCTGTCTCCACTCTGATGCTTCAGAAAGTCGTAACATGAAGATAAATGAAGTCACGACATTTGCAGGAAAATGAATGGAACCAGAAATTATTATAGTAAGTGAAAGAAGATGGAAAGGAAAACAGGAAAAATCTAAAAATAACCAACCAAATACAAAGATGACATCTTGGCCTCTCTTTTAAAAGGGGGAAATTTTCAAGGCTTTGGAAAACTACAAGTACTTCAATCTCCAGTAACTACAAGTTAACATTATGACAGAATTTACTGAAATATTACATTCCACTTAGTCTTTTCCTCCTCGTTTAAAGCAACAGCAACATCTTGCCTTAGGGTCCTGGGAACACAGAAGAGAAGATCAGCCAGAAATCCATGGCCCCCTCTGTCCTAGGAAAGCATAAACCTAGGTTGCGTGTTCGGGGACTGGGCTGGGGTTGGCAGACAAGGCATAGATGAAGAAGGCAAGATGGAAAATGGAGATTACTTTGAGGGGAAGGAAGGAAAACCGGTAGAAGCCAGTCACTGGGGCGCAGGCTGCCGACTAAGCCGAGGGGTGGTTTTCTCAGTGCCACTGAGGACTGACCGGTGAGGCAGCAGACAGATCTTCAGCTTTTCCGGCAGGGGCAGTCCTGCTAGTCCCTCCCCCACTTCTCTTACCGCCCACTACAGCCTTCCCCTTTCCTGTGATTTCTGTTTTCAGTGCCCCATTGCAAGTTTAAACATCTCGGTGTCACCAGAATCTACCACCATGTGAAAAACACAAGTAGCTAAGAAATAAAATGTAACGGAAGAGTTTCCCTTCTAGTTTAAGGCAATCCTGGGAAGTATTTTTTTTTTCATATGTCTATAGTCTTCCCACAATTTCCTCATTGAACAGCAGGGACTCCACCATCCATTTTGTAAAAACTCCACAATCATAGTCTCCTTCAACCTGCTATTTTTAATCAGATTTTCTCTGGTTAATTGGAATTTCTACTAACTCTTGAATATAAGTAGGAGTTGAGATATTGTTTCCTTGATTAAATACGAGTTTCTATGCTACACAGCAGCACAACTGTTCTTTGGACAGAGGTGCCAGGTATTAAAAAGTTCCAAATCTCCCCAAGAATCCTTCAGCCCTGAAAGAACTCAAGTCGGCTTTTTCTTTTGATCCATAAGATGCAGCTACATACACTCTTCTTTTAAATGTAATTTTACTGTCAACAGCCTGGATTTGCCAAGTCCCAAACTCTTTTTAAAAAGAAGTTGTGGACCTTGAGAGCTTGTTGACGTGTGCCTTTAGTTCCAGCACTCAGGAGGCAGAGGCAGGAGGATCTCTGTGAGTTTGAGACCACCCTGGTCTACAAGAACTAGTTCCAGGACAGCCTCCAAAACCACAGAGAAACCCTGTCTCGAAAAACCAAAACCAAAAAAAAAAAAAAAAAAAAAAAGAAGAAGAAGAAGAAGAAGTTATTTTCCTTGTTTGAGAATTGCCTCAGTGCATGAACAAAACTAGAGACCTTGGGAATCTTGAGAATACACACCAATTAGGTACCATTATAAAGAATGAACCCCTAGCTGGGTGGTGGTATTGCACGCCTTTAATCCCAGCACTCGAGAGACAGAGGCAGGTGGATCTCTGTGAGTTCGAGGCCAGCCTGGTCTACAGAGTGAGTTCCAGGGAAGGCTCCAAAGCTACAGAGAAACCCTGTCTCGAAAAAAAAAAAGAATGGAGTCCTATACCACACAGGGTGAAGTGACACTGGATTCCAAACTGACTCACTTTGTGATCTCCTAAACTGAAGCCTGGCAGTATTCCACAAAACAACAAATAATCTGGTGTTCGCTTCGATTCATAGCTGGACTTTTTCTCTCTGGCCTTTCCCCTTCATTATCCCTCCACCACCACATCAACATCCTCCCTGCACCCTCCCTGTTGAGGTCCTCCTCACGGGTCTAAGACACAACGCCTTTGTCCTTTCCTGCTACGACTGTTCGTCAATTTCTTCCTGGTCATATGTTGTACGCAATGATGTCGCTTTGTTCTT